TGCAAAATTAAGATTCCGTTAGTGGGTGCTGCCTCTGACTGAGTGGGAGATGCTTGACCTGTTGTGATTGCCCTCCCCCTGAAAGAAATGTTCACAGCTCGGGGTTCTCTGGGGTCCTCCGTGTCACATGAGGCTCAGGCGATCTCAGCAGCATGGGGTGCCTTCTGTCGGCTTTGGGTGGTGACCCAGCCACAGCCTTATCCAGGCAGGAGCCATGGGGCTTCAGTAGTCTGCTCTATAACTCTCCACTTAGATTACTGCAATGCACTCTGGTCATGGAGCTGCCATTTAGGACTCTACAGAAGCAGCCAGTTTAATAACTGGAACAAGGAGTTCAGAAGATTTTATTAATTAATTAATTAAAAGATTTTGTAGGCCGTCCTATTATACAAGATCTCAGGATGGCTTACAATATTTAAAAAGACAATTAAACCACAATTGCAATAAATAATAAAACAGAACAAAACAATAAATCGCAAAACAAACAGAGCAACTAAATTAAAAACTATTAAAGTTTAAAATACTGTTTAAATAAAAAGGTTGTGGCCTGACACTGAAAAGAGTATAAACTTGGTGCCGGGCATACTTCTCTGGAAAGTACATTGCAGAGTTTGGGCACCACAGCAAAGAAGGCCCTACTCCGAGTTGATGACCTTTTTACCTCTCTTAGAGAGGGTTCCCGGAGCAGGGCCTCTCTCATAGATCTTAAGGGGTGTGAGGGCATATAAGGAAGGAGATGTTCCCTCAGGTATCCTGATCCCAAGCCATTTAGGGCTTTATAGGTCGAAACCAGCACCTTGGATTGGGCCCAGACTTCAACTGGGAGCCAGTGGAGCTGGTAGAGGACTGGCGTTATGTGAGAATAACGGCCGGTCCCCGTCAGCATCCTGACAGCTCTATTCTGTACCAGTTGCAGTATCCGGACCGTTTTCGAGGGCAGCCCCACCTGGAGCGCGTTGCAGTAATCCAAGCGGGAAGTTACCCTAGCATGTATCACTGTTGCTAGGGAGTGCTCATTCAGGTTAGGATGCAGCTGATGGATCAGTCGAAGTTGTACTGTGTTTCCCCGAAAATAAGACACTGTCTTAATTTTTTTTTTGGCTCACAAAAACACACTAGGTCTTATTTTCAGGATAGGTCTTATTTTGGAGGAAACATGGTAATCTGCTTGCCATTTTTGGACCAATCAGAGATCCAACTTCTTCTCTTTGCAGTAAGCTGTAAGATTCTTGCCGCACGAGTCCTCTACAATTCTTTTCTTGTACTCAATGGAATAGCTCTTTCTTTTTGTACTCATCTTGTCTGGGGGTCAAAATAATACTCTGTTTAAATCTACCATTAAATATGGTACCATACCATAATACTGATGGATAGAAGCTTTACAAGACAGGAGTGAATGGCAAAGTTAAGAATAGGGTGATCAGGGCACTCGGGTGCCATACCTTCCCAAGAGCAATTTGGTAACCATTCGCTGGCCAGAATGAGTGAAGCACACTTTCACTATCGACTCCTCACAGACAGGGTGCATTTGGTATCACTCCGCCTGTGGCAGGAACCAGCGCTATAGAAGAAGCATCGGCTTATGTGGCTCTGCTCCCTCCGCTGCCTGGCTTCTCTGTAGCGCCAACTCCTGTGGGCAGGTGCCAGGTGCTGACTGAAAAGTTTTTTGTTAATCATCAATAAGGGAAAAGGGTTTTGTTAATCATCAGTAATCATCATTTGCTAACTGCCACATCCCTTGCAACACTCTTTAGTAGCTCACTGTACCATGGAGCAGAGCCACATAAGCATGTTTCCTCCACACAGTGCATTAAGTTAAAGTTAAGTTAAAAGATAAAGTTTAAAAAGGCTCTTTATGTTCCCCACTGGCCCTGGGAATAAACACAGCTAGGTCGTATTTTCGGGGTAGGTCTTAAATTTTAGCAAGTACCAAAAATAGTACTAGGTCTTATTTTCGGGATAGGTCTTATTTTCGAGAAACAGGGTAGTTAAGCACTCCTTGCCACCACCACCACCTGAAACTCCAGTGACAGCTCTGGGTCAAGGAGTACTCCCAAGCTGCAGACCCTGTCCTTTAAAAGGAGTGCTATCCCATCCAGAACTGGGTCAAAATCACCTACCTGGAGACCCGCACCACCCACCAACAGGACTTCCATCGTATCTGGATTGAGGCTCAGTTTATTGGCCCTCATCCAGCCCATTACCTTGGCCAGGCACCGGTTCAGTACAGCCACCGCGTCACCTGGAGCAGATGTAAATGAGAGGTAGAGCTGGGTGTCATCAGCATACTGATGACTCCGTAGCCCAAACCTCCTGATGACCTGTCCCAGCAGTTTCATGTAGATGTTAAATAGCATGGGGGACAAAATAGAGCCCTGCAGAACTCTATGGCAAAGCTGCCATGACGCAGAGCTATAGTCTCCCAGCACCACCATCTGGACTTAGCCGGCCAGATAGGAGTGGAACCACTGCCATGCAGTGCCTCCTACTCCCAAGTCAGCCTATCCAGATGGATACCATGGTCAATGGTATCAAAAGCCACTGAGAGGTCCAGGAGCACCAACAGAGGCACAGTCCCCCTGTCCCTCTCCCTACACAGGTCATCATACAGGGTGACTAAGGCAGATTCAGTACCATAACCGGGTCTGAAACCAGAATGAAATGGGTCCAGATAATCAGTTTCATCCAAGAGTGCCTGGAGTTGTCCTGCCACCACCTGCTCTAACACCTTGTCCAAAAACGGAATATTGGCCACCAGTCTAAAGTTGGCGGCCACCTCTGGGTCCAGGGATGCCTTCTTCAGGACAGGCCAGATCACCACCTCCTTCAAGGGGGCCGGAACCCAGCCCTCCCTCAGTGAGCCATTAATAACCTCCTGGACCCAGGGACCAATCCCGTAACTGGCCTCTTTAAGTAGCCAGGAAGGGCAAGGGTCAAGAAGACAGGTGGTAGGACCTACCATCCCAAGCACCTTGTCCACATCATCAGGCTGCAATAACTGAAACTCATCCATTAAAGATGGACCAGACAGAGCTCTGGACACTTCCCGTACTGGAACAGTATCAACTGTGGAGTCCAGATCGCGGCAAATCTGAGTGATTTTTTCCTTAAAGTGCTGGGCAAAGTCGTCACAGCGGGGGTGCGACCATGTCATTTTCCTGACCAGCATGTGTTAGGCCTCACACTATTTGGAAAAGCTGCGCCGGACAGCACTGTGAGGAAGCAATAGAAGCAGAGAAAAATCGCCTCTTCACCGTGCTCACCGTCACAGCATAGGCTCGATAATGAGTGCATAAGTGTGTTTGGTCAGATTGTCCCGAGATTTCCTCCACCTGCGCTCTAATCATCTCCCAGCTTGCTTCATCGCCCACAACTCAGGTGTATACCATGGTCCCGAGCGGACTCTGCTAGGTGGGAGAGGACGCTTAGGAGTGATCATGTCGATTGCCCTGATCATCTCCCTATTCCACAAATTGACCAGGACATCAACAGGAGAGCCAGCTTTATCAGCTGGAAAATCCCCCAGAGCCCTCAGGAATCCATCTGGATCCATCTTGCTCCGAGGTTGAACCATCTTAATAGGGTCCGCACTCTTCCAGAGGGAGGAATCAGCCCCAAGCAAACCTCACGAGGCAGTGGTCTGACCATGGCAAAGGAGTTAAGGTCAAGTTTCTCACTTCCAGGCCACCCTCTTCCCACCCCGTCGAGAAAACCAGGTCAAGCGTGTGACCCCTTTCATAGGTTGGGCCAGTGATATGTTGAGACAGCCCCATGGCTGCCATGGAAGCCATGAAGTCCTGAGCTGCCCCGGATAGAAGCGCCTCGGCATGGAAGTTGAAGTCCCCCAGGACCAACATCCTCAGGGTCCCCAACACCAGATCTGAGATGATCTCCGTCAGCTCAGGCAGGGAGTCCGCTGGGCAGGAGGGTCCGTGGTACACCAGTAGAGTCCCTAATCTGTCTTGATCGCGCAACATCAGGTACAAACACTCCGTCCGCCCCACCCATGGCAGCTCTGCCCCCAGCACAGGGCAGCTCTCACCTGTGCCTGCTGAGGCGAAGGGAGCGAGGGCGAGAGTGCGGAGTCCCTTCCACAGCGCAGATGACAGTGGCGGCATCTCTGTCCCCACGCGGCGCTTGGCAGCGCAGGTCGGCACAGCGAGGTGCAGGGGGCCAGTCTCTCAGGGCCATAATACCAGTTTTCCCACTTGTGTTGACTGCCTATGTTTCTGACATGAGCCTACCATTAATCACTCTCAGAGGTGTTCTTCTGAGTGCCTATTCTGAGGGAGGCTGGGAAGGTAGCAGTGAGTGAAAGCACCTTTTTGGGGGTGGCCCCATGAATATTGGGAATCCTATCTTTTTACCTGCATATTCCTCTTACATATTTTTTTCTACCATGTTGGAGCTTTTGCACAGCATAATAGCAGCAGCACTTGTGTTTTCTGTGGTCCTTCAATATATGGGATAGATCTGGTTTCTGTGACAGCCTGATATTAAAGCAACACTTGTGCCTTATACCTGATCAGTAATAGGAATTTCAGCTGGAATTGGGATAGACATCAAAATATTTGATTTCCACAAAGAGATATATAGGTCCTCTTATCTAGCCATAGTGCCAGAAACACACAACAAAGCCCATGCAAAGGATTTGAACAAATAAGAACTTGTCTTTCCACTGCCAATGCCACATTAACCTTGCCTGCATTAGCAAAATCCAAGCAAGGCTTGTAGGGAGACTTACCACTGTGCTAAGATGACCTGTTTGGTCAGGTGCTGCTAACAGTTGTGATGCCTTGAACCACTTTGAAACACTCAGAATCAGGCTCTAAGACAGTTAGATTGCTGATCATATGTTCTCAAGGGCTAAAATTTCATTAGATCTGTATTGTTTAGATTACTTGATTCTGTAGCTGAAAGTATTTGACATAGCAGCATGTTTTGGTAGAATGCCATTTATATTCCCTTACAGACAGATTGCTCTTGTTTACTTTCAACAGACTAAGTATCCTGAAATAGTAGTACTTCCTGAAGGATCGTCTGGTGATTACATGATCTTGAGAAGCACTCAGCTTCCTGGGTAAGACAACTTTGTGGTGCCTATTAGGACAGTGCTTTGATAAACTGTCATAAAGGAGCAATAAGTGAAATTACATGGCAGTTGGCATGAATTAGACGGAAAGTGGCATAAGAGTTTTTAACAGCACAGTGGTATGATTTATCGTCTATAACATGCTGGTTTGAACACCACTGGCTACCAGTTCATTCCTGAGAACAATTCAAAAGGCTGGTTTTTGTCTTTACCTAAGCCCATGCCTATTTGGGTCCAATAGCATCATCCCTCTCCTGTTTGCCATTTCCTCCACTATTGCATAGCCTCTGAACCACATAATCAGCTACCCCACCTGCTCCAGCTACAATCCTAATGTTCAAAGATGCCAGTGGCTTCCCTGTTCCTCGGAAACCATCCTTTGACCTATTCTTTATCTGCAACACAACTCATCTTTCTTCATTTCTAAACTCCTGGAATGTGCCTGTTCTCACTTTTGACTTCTCCAGCTCCACTCTTGACCTGTCCTGATCTGTGTCAGGGTTGGGATGTGGGCAGCCAGAGACAAGAGCTGCAAAGGCTCCAGGACCAGGGCAACTGAGCTTCAGGCAAGACAAGAGCCCAAATGCAAGGCTTAATGGCAAATCCAGATCATGGTCATGGTAGAGGCTACAAGCAGACCTGTGTTGCTGAGGCTACATCTAGAGGGAAGGGCTTGCTCTGATATAGTTCTTCTCCCAGGCTCCCAGCTGGTGCTCATCCTGGTGCTCTTTTCAGTGGTGGCACCCCATTTCAAGCTTTTGACTGAATTAAGCTGCTTGTGTTTATTTGTGGCACTTTAAATTTTATTTAATATTGTTAACATCCTGCTATGTTGAACTGTAGGAGACTTTTAATTTAAAAAAAATCAAAATATTTAAGTGTGGATGTCACACACTAGGTTTTCAATAAACATTTTTGCTGTAATTAATTATTAGTTTCAAACATCAGTGCTGGAGGAAAAAAACCTTTGATACGTGTGTGACTGGAAAAGTCAAATTGTACTACTTTAATAAGCTGCACAATACTTATCATATAGTGCCTTGCCAGAAGTGTTAACTTTTGCATTTGTGCTTCAGCCTGGAATTGAAATGTATTTAATTGGTGGTATTACGTCTTCATATACACAAGATGCTCAACACTGTGAAGGTACAAATGATTTTTATTGTGGTGCAGAAGATGAAAACAGCAAATCAGCACTTTGGTTACACAAGTATTCACCCTTGTGGAAAGGTAAAGATGGGGGTGAATACTTGTGTAAATCATCATAATTCCTAGCTGCTATTTGCAGACAAGAGGCCTCTCTTAAAGGGATTGTGTATGTTGACCACCACACGCAATGGTTTTTGAAACCCCTTTCTCCTGACAGTAGCACCAAGAATGTCCTAAAATTGAGAATGACTTCAGAATGTTTTCAAGCATATTTAGAAACTGCTCACATGAGATGTCCCAGTGCAAGCCCGTGGGTCAGACTGGTACCAAAATCTAGTTCAGCCCTGCCTCACTTGCCTCCTACATAATGTTGCATTAGACCTCTGACCTTTAGCATTCTTTGCCTTTTTTAGATTTGAGTTAATGGTGGTTTGGAAGATAAACGTAGACAAAGAAGGAAAAGTTACACCAGTCTTAGATCTTCTGAACAAGATACCGAAGTCAGGTATACTTATTTTACATTTCTGTATCCTGTCCCATTTTGTTCAACTTGGTTTCAGCTGTGGTAACTGTCTTAGCTTGCATTACCTTGTACTAAAATCCATTTCCCACAACACAAATTATCTTTGCTTTGATTGTCGTCATCAGACACTAATTCTTTTGTTGGCAGCACATAGGGGCTAACTATATATTAAATGCAACTAGTTATAACAAAGCCCTAATAGCTTTATTTTGTAGATGGTAGATATGTCAGGGTAATTGTATCATCTTTGGGAGAAAAGTGGTTTTGGAAAAATATACTGACTGCAAAAACCACAAACGCTGTTCCTTCTTGCAGTCCCAACTGCAGCTTCTTGAGGCTGCTTTTAGTCTAATAAAGTCTGAATGGGCATTGTTTATAACATGTAATTTGTTCTATATCAATTTAACTATAATGGTATTTGAAAATGCCATACAAACATTAAGTATTTGACATCCATTATTTGAGAGTAACTTGCTTTTAAATTAAGACTGAGAAAAGCAACCATTTTTACTTGCACTAGTTTTCTTTTCTTGCTTTTTCTTTCAGTTAAAAGCTGATCTTTAACACACAGCCCTACCTACCTTCGAAAGGGTATACCACAGCAATATCAAGATGCCTAAGGATAATGTGCCTTTCTGGACTTGCTTACTAGTAAGCTTACTAGTAAGCAAGTACAAACTTGCTTGTCTTAATAATAGGGAGGTGAAAACAGGCTACAGCTGAACATATTACCAAACAATGGTTTCTTCCTGAGTCTAATGAATAGCATTAGACTTGAACTCCACAGCAGCAAGAATTTAAGGTTGCTGGACTATTTTTATATGAGGTAAATATTTAACTCTTTATTTTTCTCATCTTACAGTTAAGGAAGCTGACAAATTTGCATCAGAGGCTCCATTCTACTTCAGAAACTTACTACATGTGCTTGGGATACAAGCTTCCATTGAAACCCTCATACAATCACTTTAACAAAGGCAAATGAGTACCAAGAGACTAAGTTATACATCTATCATTTTATTGAATATAAACATTAAGTTATCTTCCATTTAGAAACCATACCCATAAAACATGCTATCTGTACAATTATGGCACAAATATATAAATTGTAATGACAAATAAATACCGCCTTTTAAATACAAAATGCCAAACAATAAGGTACAAGTTGAGTGAACTTCATTAAAAAAAAATTAACTTTCTGAATCAAAGTGGTTTTTCCCCTTCCATAACATTTCCTAGAACCTCTTTAGATCAACCTAATAAATTCAAGTCTATAAAAAGTGGCAGTTTCAGTTCACAGCTGTATATGTAACAGTGATTTTTAGATTGAAGTTAAATGAAATCAATCTTAAGATGTAAAAAAAAAAACATACAGTAGCACAACTATTTCTTCCACAATCAGTGAATGAAGGCAAAAACAGGTTTATAACACCTCTTTCATAAAAACATATGGGTGAAATTTTAATTTACAGTGGATCCAAGCATAAACTGTGATTTACAAATTGCAAGGTGTTGATTTTTTAGTCCCAGGAAATACAGAATACAACAACAACAAAAGAGGGCACTGACTCACATAAAACTTGCCATTCACCTGGTCTACACAACCTAAACAGGCTACCCTGGCTTAAACAAATGTCAGGTGCAATTTGCCATTTCCAAGCCATGGTTTATTTGTTTAGAACAAACCCAAGCAGCATGGTTCTTTGGAGGGTTAAACAACCCTCAAGTAACTCATGGCTCATTGTAGGGTTATTTTAGATTTATTTAAACCTGCAAAAAGTTATGCCACCTGGGTTTGCCTCAATAGAATAAATCACAACTTGGATGTGATTGTGCAAATTGTACCTACAACACTTCACAGCTCAGAACAAGCCACAGTGACTTGTTTTGATCATGCAAACTAGCCCACTCTGTTTATTTCTGAGGAGTAGGTCTGTTCGATGAGCTTTTAATGCTACTCTAGCCCATTAGTAGCTACATCAAAGTTCTCATTGCTCTTTTAAAGTGCCTCAATAGTCTCCATAAAAAGCAACTGTGTAGCGATTTGGTGGAGCTCCAGTCTTGAAATCCAGAATTGAGAGAGTACCTTAAGCAGCATTTCAACTGCCTTTCTAACCCCAGGTGATACTAGGCACAATCTGACCTGGTTCTCATGGTTTAGTTTCCATCTGCAATATGCAGCGGCAAATGGACCTGGCTACACAGCTCTTTGTTCTACTTCCTCATTCTGCTTTATTGTTTGGGCAACTATGGACTGACAGTCTTTCTGGCAGAAAATTTACATCCCAAGACATAGTCTTTGAGTTAGGTATTAATCCTTAGCATCACAGCAACATTCACAGCTAGCTAACTAATTAAAAACTGCTGTAGCTTTACTAGACTCAACCCAACTCAAATCTCAGACCAGATGGATGCCCTAATCTGCAGTTGGATGGCTTGACAATCTGCAATTCAAGGTATGCAGCATCTATGTAACCAAGTCTTAAGTTGGACTGCTCTCACAAGACAGGCGTTTTCAGTATTAATCTGAGTAGGGGTAAGAATCACTAGAGATACATACAAAATTAAGAAAGTATTTATAACAGTAAGTATGAAAACAATATAGGTTTTAAACTATTACCATTACATTTAATGTTATTGTAGCAGCCGAACTGTATGGCAAGGGATAAGGATTCCTTTCAAAAAAGTTAAGGAAATCTGGCCACTGGTGACAAAGAAGTCAGTTGGAACAGAAGGTACTTCGAAATGCTCCGGTTGAAATACAGGTAACAGATTAGATCCAGAGAAACTTGCAGCGTCTGCACCCTACAGTGGAGTTTTCCTGGCTCCCCCTCCCAGCGCACCCATACAAAGCCATTCCGGAGACCCAAAGGGGCCTCTGGAAGGCTGCAGGATGGGGAAGCCTGCAGAAGTCAAGGAAGCTGCACGGTGTGAGCAGGAGCACCGGTCTTTTTGTGCACCCCCAGGTCCAAGCCACTGCTACTTTCTAAATGACTGAAGCAGCTTTAACCAGAAGTTGCTCAGAGCTTGTATAAGAGGCTCGCTCCCCTTAGGGTTAAGGTTGCTGCTACAGGACAACCATATGACACGTGCTCCTTTTCCACAATAAGCCTGCCTGCCCCCGTGGGCACTGTAACCGTTCTGCATTCAGAGGATCCTTCACACAGCCAGCATATGAGCAGGGACTTCCTTACAGCACCACCCACAAGTCAGGCCTACAACCAGGGTTCCACAGAGCCTTCACTCTGCCAATCCTTAAGTATGTTTCCGCTGTTTTCCTATTTTTGTAGACAAAGTATAGAGCAAAGGCAAGTGACAAATCATGCACAGGCACTTCTAGAGAATATGCCTTTGGTGAGGATATTTAATGCCTATCTAAGTTTTCAATGCACATAAAGTTCACATTGGAATCTCTCGATTACTGCATTCATAAGCCCTTGAAAAGTGAACTGCAGGTTTAATGTCTAAAGAGGGAACATGAATAGAAAAAGAAAACCTACCACTCAAGAAAAATCAAAGCCAGTATTTTTAACTCTTAAGTTGCTTCCCATTTAAGCCTTGGATTGACTTGCTGTACTGGAAGATAACAGAATATCAATGAGGGATAGGTGTAAGCATTTTATTTGGAAATAAGAATTACTAGAAGAGGTTTAGTATTATTTTGTTAGAACTGGATTATTAGAAAGGGCTTGTTTGCAATTAAATTGTTCTACAGAACTTTTCACAAAGCTCCTTTTTTAAAGGAAGAGCTTGTTTTTAAGAATGAACTAGTTTGTTTTGACAGCTTTACTCTTGACTAATTAAAGCAAAGATGTTTTTCACTATATCCTTAAATAAGATACTTTTCTTTTGCAAGTTTATTTTCATTTACTCAACTCAATTATGAGCAATCATTGCAGTATTATGTTCAGAAAAAAAGTGTAGTATGTTCTCACAAGGCTATGAAAACTATATTTCTGTTCATATGCAAGCTGCAACCTAGGCAGCAGTATAGGTCCGCTAGCCAGCTTCAGAATTATCTTAAATGTAAAATGAGCCACTGTAACCATTTGCTTTGAACAAGTGCTACTCAGCAATGCACATAATATTCACAGAGTTGCATAGGCACACCTCATGGGAATGCTGCTTCCATGAACTGAAGAATTAAGTTCAAAAAAGTCTATTCTATGCATCATAAAGTAGTCACAGTTAACTACTTTCAGAGCAACTGATTTACTAATGGCTCTAAAGAGTATGTACAGGTCTGTTTTACCGTCAGCTCATTCCTTCAAGATGGTCTGAGTGGTATTTCTGTGTTTCTGAAAGGCATATAAAATTTAAAGCACAACTGTAAATAGAAAACCAACATAACTTAATTCTTCACCTTCCCCCCTTCTCTAGGTTCAAATAAATATCTAGCCAGTTACATTTTATGAAGAACTAGTGTGCAGTCTTCATTCTCTTTCAAGAGACTTGACATTACGGAGTCATCTTTGGCCTGTGTGTTCTTCAAGTAGTAGCTTACTATCTTCCCATCAAGTTTGTACTGATGGGGAATACTTTCATATGGCTTGAGGTCTAGGTCCAAGACAGAGACTGAAAAGGTGAATCTTGATTTGGAAGTCAGAACCACTGGCCTCTCTGCTGAACTGCAATTTAAAAAGAACACCACTTATTATTCTCCACCTCCAGGAGGAAGAAAAAAGTTGACTTTTAGGGTACATGAAAAATCTACCCATTACCTAATCATAACAAACTACAGCTGATGCTGCATTTTTCTAGTAGCTGTGGTCTTAAGTAAAATACAGTTTTTCCAAGCCAAATTGTGGTACCAAAAGTATTTAGTGGATCATGTTGGTTATTTTCCTACTGGTTTCCATCTCACTTCATGCCAAGCCTCCCTAAATTATTATACCACCAGTACTGCTATGTGGATGAACTGCACTGAGAGGTTAGCCATCTGCTTATGTTAACATTATTTAAAATACCAAGTTTCACCAAACCAGGTTTTACCAGTTGGCCAGTTTTATGAATTCTGTCATTTTAGGGCACATTCCAATGCCGTCCAGGCTGAGGGAGAGAGGTTGGGGTACCACTGGAGATTGGTGTGAGTTGTTGGCCTCAGCCCCTTCCTGCCCCTTTCCATCCTCCCCAAGGCCCAGTTACAACCTCAGGGAGAGAGACAATATAGTTCTTCCCATGCTAGTTGCAAGGGGACAGGGACAGGGCTTCAGAGTCCCAGCTCTGAAATCAGGATCTCAGAGCCAGGGCTCAAAATAATCCCATTCCTGCACACACACCCCTTTCTTGAACGTGAGGAGGCTACAGGATTGTGCCCTCAGAAAACAAATGTGTACAGAGTTACTGTTGTTGCCTTTAGCCAAGACACTTAGATCCTAACCCAGATCCAGTTAAGGGTAAATATAGGACTTAATATAGCAATATGTATTGCTAAATCACTTCTAACTGGTTATACAAATGATAGTCCTGGCACCCTGAAAGGTTCCTTGGTAAATAAAGACATTTACTCTGTTCCTGTCACAGTGAAATGTAAAATTTATCAACTGTGGTGCTCAGGCATGTGCCCCTGGCATTGTAATTCAAAACCACACTTATTCATTGTTCCTTTGGGAAATGTATCACTCCACTCGTGTGGGGGTTCACCCCAATGCCAAAGTCATCTCCTCACAGATTTACATATTCCCTTCTCGTAAGGGATCATAAGTTATAGTGGAAAAACAAAACTGCAAAAATAATCTCAATGAAGTTTGAGCTAATTCAGGCTTGTTTAGTGGTTGGTGGATGTAGACTTAAGATTTTCTGAAAGAATCTCTATTTTACATTTCTGCTCAATTATTGCCTTCAAATTATTAAATAAACCCATGTTACATCCTTTAAGTGGAATTGCCCATTGCATGCAGCTTTTTGTATGTAAGGGAAAACTCCATTTAAAGGCATCAGTTCCACTTAAAGGCTATTAAAGCACAAGTAGAAAGGTATAATTATGATTTAAATTAAAACTACTAGAACTTTTCTGAGGACAGAAATACTGGACTTTGCAGTTGAAATACTGCTTGCCAATGACTGATAAGGGATAAGGCCAAGGGAACAGGGTGAGCTATTCACCATTTACTTATTTCCAAACAAAAAGATTCCTATTTTTTAAAAGTTCTGTTTGCATTTAAATGCTTTTAATAGAGTTCTTGAGTTGCAATTATGTTCAACAGAAAAAATTGTGACTCTAAGAAATGCTATTTAAATGCTCTATAGTTCCCTTTTGAGGTCTAGATTGAGGGCCTCTAGGACAAATTATGTTGCCTTTTCCATCTAAAGTTCGAAGTTCAAGTGTCTAGATGGTATTACCATTCATCCTGTTGACAAGGTGAAAGGGCAATCATGATAGAGCAGTCCTTTGCTGTCATTGCAACTCTATACTGCTGAACCTGTAAGAAAATCAAGACAGTGTTCATCAAACAAGCGGTTACATAAGGAAGTTAGAGTTGTCTCAGGTGGTTCACAAGTGCAGGCCAGCTTCATGAAGGCAGCACCAGAAGGGGACTAGATCTGTGCTCCTGAACCCACCCACCGTGTCACACATCCTCCTAAGCCAAGATTATCACAGCTACTCATGAAGCACATCTTTGAGGGGAAACTTAAATGCCCAGCTTCCCATGAGGGAGTAGTTCTGCAAAGGTGGCTCCCACTCCCATGCGTGCACGAAGGTCTACGATACTGAGTTCCTCTGCTCAGATATGCACGCAACCAGCCACAGCCAGTGGTGTCATCCTGCACACACAGGCAGTTCAGTGAATGGAACCAGGAGTGGGCAATTTTATCTGCAGCCTTCCTGGCTTTCTTGCACAGGATAGTTGGGGAGCTGTGCAATCCAGCTGGAGCAAGTGCCTGATGCTGCCTTTCCATAAGGCAGTCTAAGATGCAGATTTGCTGTGCTCTCTTCAGGAAGACCTCACTTATTTAGACCTTAAACCTTTGTTCTAAAAAACTTCAGTTCCATCGTCAGGTAAGAATACCTTTGTCAATGCATATGCGACCGTACCATCATCCTCACTTGAGAGATCAAGTAGCTTCTCATAGAATGATTCATTATAAGGTCCATCAATCTGTAACATATTCCTGGAAAAGCAAAATATGTATTTAGAGAATAACTAAAGAATACGGTAAAATCCAGAATCTAAGAATTGCATATTACACCGTGCTTGTGCTATTGCTGAACAACTGTGCCCTACCAAAAATCCTCCTATTTCCATACAGCACATCTGCCTGTTTAAGGCGTAATTTTATCATTTTAAAATTGCGAGGCTATTGTGCCCTCTCGTGACCACTGTCTAAAATTACAGGAGACAACAGCAATAGGAACACTGCAAATGAAATTACGATGTTAGGTATTGGGAATGGCATGTAGGGCAGAGGGCTCCAATTCAAGGTACCAAATAACCATGTTTCAGAATGCAACATTTTATTTTCTGTTTATCTGCTTTTGCAGTCTCTATTCCAATATTCAGCATTTCATGGCCACTGAGGATGCTTAGTCCTCACCAGACTTTTTTTTTTTTTTGAGGGGGGGAATCTCTCTTCCTATTATCATTTTTTTCTGAGATTTTTTTAATACTTCTATTTAAGATTCATCCAAGCATGCCAGTATCACATGTAGAGGGTACAGTTTTGGCTACTTAAAAACAGTTTTAGAGAATAGTATACCCACAAAAGTACTGAAGTTTGAACACTGAAAGTTTCTCTGTATAATTCGACAACTCGTCTATGTTGAGGAAAACATCATAGCCCATATCTACTGCCACCTCCAGTTGCCCAAAGTTCATGTTATATTCATGCTTTGGGTATCCAGAAAAATACATACCAAACAGTATTACTGTTTTTTGCTCTCCGTTAATATAACTTGTAACAATTGAGCAACACAAGCCATTTTGTATTGCTCCTTTCAACAATACAAAATGCCTACCCTTCCTTTTTTATGAGCTAGAATTTCAATGAGCCAAAATGTCAAAACATCATCTTTCTCGCGCTGAAGAAAATTTCAATATGCAAAGGCCTTTTCACTATAATAAACTGGTATGCTAAACAAGAAAACATTGTGCACTGGCTATTACTGTTTCTTGTAGGTTGAAAGCAACTAAGTATGAAACATAAACACGGAATATCCCAAGGATAGTTTGGTTTCCAGTTCTGGAAAACCTAAAGGTGAAATCCTATCTATGCTGGCTGGGAGAGGCAGGCCTTTTTTCCAGCCTAAATGTACATAAGAAGGTACCATAAGTAGGACATTTCTATCATTCCACCTTGCCAAGCTGACACAAACACCACATTGCCTTACCTCTCTTTGGGAAATTCTTCCAAGTATTGTTCTATTCTGCTGTACAAAGGATAAATGCCCTCAATATCCAGCATGTCCAGCATCTGAGCCTGAAGTGTTTTGTAGAGGAGACATTCCCTTGGCAAGCCAGAACTCTCCATTTTATTTTTACCTGAAAGTAAAGCACGCTTTCAAAACTGCTTTGACAAAGCTTATACAGACCTCTTTGATCACAAGCAGGAGGAAAACACTACAGCAGGGAAGAATTACGATTCCCCCTGCCCGCATACAACTATTCTTTTCAAAACTATCAAAAAGGAAACAAAGAAGCAATGTTCTTCACTAATCCACACTAGGGGTACAAAGAGTAACATTTGATCTTTTACTGTTCCTCATATTCAGTGAAGTTCTATGGAAGTTATTCCTTATGGAAATATCTAACAAATCAAGGCCTAACATCATGCAAACTATTACTGTTGTTATTAGATTTCTATATTGCCCATGGCAAAGTTCTCTGGGCGGTTCACAACATTTAAGTCACCCATCCAGCTCTGAACCAGGCCTGATTCTGCTTAGCCTCCAAGATTATGCAGGATCAGGCACTTCAGGCTAGACACAAGAAAAGAATTCTAGCAGAAAAGATTTTAGTAGACTTAAAAATAACCAATTTACTTAAAAGGTTATTTTGGGAGACAGGGCTATCTGTTTTAGCTGATTTTCAGTCATATATATCTTCACAAGCTTTTGTTTTATGTAACTGTACATTTTACATAATGGAAGTTTCCCTTACAGATTTGATAGAAGTCTTATATTGGGTTAACTAATTCTGAAGGCAAAACCAAGGCCTAGAAAACCTAAGAATGCAAGTTCTACATACCTAGAGAAGTAGAGTAACACTAATTTTATATTTCCCCTACACTGGCAAATACGTTTTAAATAAATCTACAACTCGAGTCAATTTTGTTTACAGCAGAAGAAAATATATACTTATTAGAAGCAGCATAATAAAACATTCTAATCAACTGAGTTAGTAACAAGAGAAAACTCAGAGAGAGAAAAGTAACAATATTCAGTACTGAAAAGCAGCTTATCTGAAAGCCAGGAAAATTGCAAGCCATTGTGTATGTAATTATAGATAGCTCTATTTTCACACACTGCTCCAACTGCGTAAGGAGTTGGTCAGTATGTTCTTACCTCTCCATCACTCTTCATGCAACAGGCAAATACACACACAACCTCTCTCTCTATTGGTTTCAGTTAGAACATGCTCTATGCAAACAGATCCTGCACCACGATCAAGGATGTCCTGAAGCACCAGGGTTCCTGATCACATGAAGAGCTGTATATGCATAGACATTGTCCACGCTTTCAACTAATGCCAGCAGCATGATCTCCATGCATTCAGACTATGACTGCCGTGATTTAGCATTAATGAGTATCAACTGCCTAATCCTCATCTAGAAAAGCCATAAAGAGGAAGCCAAAGAGTCACTTCCATTTTTTCCTAACTGCTGATTACTATTTCATCTGAAGATAAACTAATCGCAATTAGTCTTAACTATGGTTTACTGACACAAGCTACCATGTGAAGTTGATTTGTTTCAATGTACTTAATATTGGCCACAATATAGGGTTTGGAGCCAATACTGAAATGGTATTTGAAAATAGCAGCAAAGGCTTCCAATTTCATCTTTGTGGCTGTGGCAGGAAGCAACAGCAAGCTAAAGGCTCATAAAGCTATCCCACAGGTTAGTATCGAAGTCCAGGCTCAGGTGTGACTGTTAAAGTAAGGACAGGGCTATAACCACATACATGGAATTTCATTAAATAAAAAATAGAAACATAATAGAGGTATCCCTTGCTTAACACAGTTATGATTAACACGGTGAAATTATTTGCAGCAATCTCTTGATATATGCAGCAGAGTTTTAATTAACATGCCTTTTTAAATTTGCCATGAACAGTCATGGGCATGACGATGTCATTCCTCCCACCCAACGATGATCTCAGGGCTCCTGCGAGGCCTATGTCAGTTGTGTTTATATTACAAACGCCAATTATTTGTCATAAGCTTTAGAACCCATTGAACAGGTCAAAGAATCGGAGCACTGGGCCATTGAGTGAAAAAAAGAGAAAAGGGAAGTAATATCCTTAGATACAAAACTTGATATAATTAAAAGATATAAAAGCAGTCAAAGTAAAAGTAAGATTGCATGCAAATTTGGCTTTCATTAGTCAACAATATGGGCAATTTTAACCAAAGCTGATGAGTATTGAGAGCAAGTAAAGTCGCATCTATGTCTGCAACTATGCAATGCACACGCAACCAAAGTGAGTTAATGATTGAAATGGAAGATTTGTTAATTATTTGGCTGGAGGATTGTATTCAAAGAGAATTCCAATTAGTACACATAACACCAAGGCCAAAGCTTTAAGGCCCTTTTCAACACTCAAAAAATAAATATAAAGAAGACAGTTCAATATTTGCAGCTAGTAATATGTACCATTGAGTATTAGATCTGATTAACACAGCTTTGATATATGCAACAAAATTGTGTGAACAATTAACAGTGTTAATTGAGGGATACCTGTAGTGCAGACAAGAGTTATGTCATTGTGAGGTAGGTGGCAGTCATGTGATTTCATGTGGTGCACAATTTCATAAGTTACAACTATTTATTTTTGCACACCAAGTTAACTCATTAAAAAACTGTTTGACAGACTTGGACAGGTTGAGTTTTATTTTCAGTCAGCTTAAAAGTCCCAGTGTTTACTTTCTGTGCTTTGCATACTAAATATGATTTGCCAAATACTGCTGAATGGCAATAAATGCAATTGAAAGATCAATGCTACTGCTTTTACAGTTTCACGGGCCCTTCTGTTACTGGAAATACTGACTGAGACTGAACAATTATACTGACTCACAATATAAATATCTATTATTAGTTAATAAATATTATACACGGGGTGTTAAAGCAAGAATGGTACGATGACCTACAGTATCCCATTTTGCCCAATCAATGGATCGCTTTGTTGCCATCTATTTCAGAAGGGGTAATGGATCTAATTCAGCAATTCATTCATCAGAAACAGATGTTTTGAATATGCTGGACGCCATAACTTTTTGCAATGAGGGCTTATCTAAATCAGGCAATTGTTGGAAATGTAATCCAACTATTTCTCTTACTGGTATGTTTTTGCAATGCCCCATGACTACTTTCTTGTAATAATACAAATAAACTCTGTTAAGGAAAGTTAATATTTATAGATATATATGGTCTTCTTAGCTACATATCCATCTCTTAGAACTTAATGAAAATTCAATATAAATGGATTTGCTGCTCCTCTTTAATAGTTAAAAGACTAATATTATGACATTGGAAAACCAAAACATCACCTTTGAGTAACACAATGGGTTGAGGACTTGAAATTTTAAATTTTGGAATGAGCTGCTTTTAGGCATAATTTAAAACAAATGGACAAATATGTAGATATCGGGACTGCCTTTTCCTATGCATAGCTTCCCCATAGCTATTACTAAATAATAGTAATAGTTTCCTATACATAAATGTTATAGGGGTACATAGCATATATTTATTCATTGTAACAAATTCATTCAAATTTCATGTAAGAAAACTAATACTTTGTTTTTATGTTTGATTTTGTTTTGAATTTTGAAACTATTCAATTGTATGCAGCTATATTCAATTATCAGATAGGCAACTAAAAGCCAAAAAAATTCTTACCATTTCTTACTAGCTCTTTATTGAACGCACTAGCTTCACAGTAACTCCATCCTTGTGAGGAGGGAACAGTCTTCATATCACCTGCTTTGCAGTTATCTGTGCTACTCAGTAGAGTCATTGTTATTACATGAATCAGTTCTTTCAGAATAGTCCTTGTACAGTGGGGCCCACCAACTAGGCCATTTGAAGGAAAGAAGAAAGGCTTCAGATGGTGTGCAAGTTCATTTAAATCAGAGGGAGAGTCCACATTATTTTTACAACCATAAATTAGTTCACCGTTCTGTAACAGGGAGAAAAAGAATTAATACCTGCAGTACTATATTTAAAATAGCTAGTTTTAGTGCATTTGGTACACTTGTGTGTTTTGTGGTGGGGTGGCATGAGGTAGGAAGCACATTCTGTGCAGAGTAATACTAGACAAGTCACATTCCGCTCAATCCACCACATAGACTAAAGTGCCACTGCAGTTCCAGGTCCAGGAACCTGGGCAGCCGAACAGCTGGAAGCAGGCAGCAGAAGAACGTGATGTGGAAGGAGAAAGCAGCAGGCTGTTAGGGGGCTTCACTTTTCTCTGCTCACCACACCCTCTTTGCCCTTTCCTCCTCTAGCCACATCAAACCCACCTGGAAAGCCCTACTAGGAGCTAAGCAGACTTGGCTCACATCTTTCCCCCTCCAAATCACAGCCTTTTCAGCTGTTCAGCAGCAACCTGTTTTTTCACACCTGGGACTGTTACTACACACCGTTCCAGGCTGTGGGCAAGATACACACACAATGAGCTAGTAGATAAACATAAGGGGCTTATTCCACACCTGTAGCAGCTACTACTAATTAGAAGTCATGCCAGAGAAATTTAGCTTCTCTTATACCAAAAAAGTTATTTGTATCATATAAAAAACAATAGAAATGGAAAGACAGCCACAGATAGTTTGTCCAGTAATATTTACGCTGTGTAAATATTACGTAATGTATTGCTTTCCTTTTGTTTTGCTTTTCTTCAGAACCATTTTATAAATAAGTATAAGGTATATGATTAAGGTTGGTTCAAAAAGTTTAATGTTATACCTATAGCAAATATGCATGCTTGCAACTGAACACAGGCCAACAGATTACCAAAAAAGTACCATCAAAAATATACAAAGGCATTAAACAGAAAAGCAGACTCAGGCATGCCTGCACCTTTTATTTTAAAAAAACCAACTGCATTTCAATTGTACATCTGCAAAACAATTAGTCATAAAAGTGTGCACCCAGTGGCTATGATACCACAATATTGGGTGTAGAGGCTCTAAGAAGTATTGCTACTAATCAAAAGAGGCTAAATAGCTAGCACTACTGAATAATCTGCAGGTAGTCCTGCCCATGATTAGCAAAATCAGCAAAAGTAATGTAAAATATGCACATCTCTTGATTTATATAGGTTCTAGAATTATGCTTTGTGTGGTTTATTATTTGTCAGTTTTTCAGATAAAGTATATGCAGCTGTCTCAACAAACCAGTTAGGACTATCCACAGTTTGTCTGGGCTTGGACAATACAACAAACAGTTAAGCACAAATGGAAGCAAAATATTCCAAAATTGTTTGCAATTGTGCCAGAGGATGGGGGAGCCAGAGACTCACAATGGCCTATTCCTGCTATACCACAATATGGTTTAACATTACATTAAACCATAAAGCAAGACCAGTATCTCCCCAATTACATCCATAATTAATTTACAGTTATTCCATGAAATCATTCTTGTTTATCTCTACATACCTTTTCCCCTTGAAATTTCACAGCAAGAACTTTAATAACTATCTTCTGGGAGTTAAATAAAGAAGGCACATTTCTAACAATCACTATATATCCAATATTTGGCCAATAAAAAGTGAATGTAAATTATCTGCATTTAAATCTGTGAGACTGGCAGCTCATCACCTAAGAACTGAAGCCTGGTTGAACACACTAGGAAAAAGATGTGAGGAGTGAAAAGAAGAAAAAGCAATTTTCATTGCAACTTACCTTAAATATTTTTAAATTATTCTGTGCCTCCTGTAACAGGCTTGTCAAGGCAAAGTGCATTCGTTGTTTATTTCTAAAGAGAAATAGACCAATGTGACTAAATAAACCTTAAAATATTCCTGTTTTCTCTGATTAGCATTAGCTGACCTGGTCTCATCTCCCTTTGCCTTATGTCCCTGTGACTCCATGTCCTTTTCTTGTGGAAGCCATATTCCACGGACCCACTTCTTCAGCAGAGCTTTTCTGAAGTCACCCTTAACTACTGCTTTCTTATTCAATCTTACATGCCCCTCTAAAACTTTGTCAGAGCCCACCCCACAGCCCTAGAATGACAAACACTTGGAAAACTTTCATGCTTGGAACAGTTTCATATAGCATCTATAACATCGAACACTATGTAAATCTTCAACAGTAAGTAAGAATTAGTAATTAGAATCATACAACAGTAGAGTTGGAAGGGGCCAGCGGGCCATCACGTCCAACTCTCTGTCCAATACAGAATGCCAGGGTTAACCATCCCTCTCAGAGGGCTGTCCAGCTGCATTTAGAAAGCCTCCAGTGTAGGAGAGCTCTCTCCTCATAGTCTTTCTCTTCTCGAGGCTCAACACTGCCAGTTCTTTCAATCTCTCCAATTCAGGCCTTTTTTCCAGGCCCTGGATCACCCTTGTTGTCATCCTCTGACCTCCTTCCAGCTTGTCTGCATCTTTCTTAAATTGTGGTGCCCAAAACAGGACACAATACTCCAGATGAGGTCTAACCAGTGGTGAGTAAAGTAGAACTAATACTTCACAGGATTTGGAAGTGATACTTCTATTAACGCAACCTAAATTAATAGCATTTGCCCTTTTTGCAGCCATATCACATTGCTGACTCATATTCAGCTTTGATCTGCAACAATTACAAGATTACAATATTGTGCATTTGGTTTCTTTTTCCTAGGTGCAGAACTTGGTGTTTGTCCCTACTGAATTTCATTCTCTTGTTTTCAGCCCAGCACTCCAGCCTATCATGATCACCTTGAATCTTCTTCCTGTCTTCCAGAGTATTAGCTATCACTCCCAGTTTTATGTCATTTGCAAATCTGATAATCATTCCCTGCACCTTCTCATCCAAGTCGTTAATAAAAATGTTGAACAGCACTGGGACCAACACTGAACCCTGCAGAACCCCACTTGTTACCTCTCCCCAGTTTGAAAAGGCGTCATTAGTTACAGCTCTTCGGGTCCAGTTCTGTAGCCAGCTGTGGTTCCAACAGATCATGTTCCATCCAGCCCACTTCCAGCTACTTTGCTAATCAGGGTATCGAGTGTGCTTTCTGGACCACACATTTGCCTCTCCTCCACTGCACTTCACAACGTCGTCTCCTTGCTGACTGGTGACAGCAGCTGGTGTTGGGGTGGCAAGGAGGGGCAGGCAGGTGCCCCTGTGAGTGCAGCCCATCTCAGAAGACCATCTTGAAGGTAGCCCCTCCCTGTGCCAGGGGGCTTCTTCCCATTCGATGCCTGCTCTGGGCAGCTTAGACTAAGATTTCTGGCCAGTGGAACTAAAGTGAACTGTTGCTTCTGGGATTAATTTATTAGACTTTGTAGTTATTTCTTTTGGGGTTTTTTTAGTATTTTTATCTATGATTTTTAGTATATTTGGAAATGCACATTTATTTTTATTGTTGGAAATGTAAACCACCCAGAGAGTCCTATGGGATATGAGTGCAGTATAGAAGTAGAATAATCATCTGTTCTGGAATTTTCCCAGGGATTGATGTCAAACTGACTGGTTTGTAGTTCCCAGGTAATTCTTTTTTTTCCCTTTCTTGAAGGGGACAACATTAGCCCTTCTCTAGTCATCTGGCACTTCCCCTGTCCTCCATGATCTCTCAAAGATAATCAACAGTGGTTCTGAGAGCTCCTCCACCAGCTCCTTTATGACTCTAGGATGGAGTTCATCAGGCCCTGGAGATTTGAACTCATTCAATCGAATTAGATGATCCTTGACCATTTGCCTATCGATCTTGAGCTGCCACTTTGTTCCTTCAGCTGGTACTTCCCCTTCATCAGGAAGGTCCTAAAACTTCTTTTGGGAGAAGGCTGAGCCAAAGTAGGAACTGAGCACTTCTGCCCTTTTTTCGTCATCTGTTATCATTTTGCCATCCACACTGAGTAGCTGAACCCCCTTTTCTTTCCTTTGTCTTTTACTGTGAACATATGTATCTTAAAGAAAGCTTTTTTGTTGCTGTTACCATACCTTACTAATCTCAGTTCATTCCCCGCTTTAACCTTCCTTATGCCATCCCTACAATTCTCAACAATTATCAGCAATATCAGCATTAGTAATAAAAGCTCCATTCAAATATATAAAATATAAAACATTAGACTTTCTTACCCTGAGAAGAGATCTAGAGGACAATATTTACTTAGCCGTTTCCACTTTCCTTTTGCTACCTGTTAATATACAATGTATGAATTCAAAGGCCAACCATCTATTCACTTACTTCTAAAGCACATTTCAAACAAACTCATGTCATTTTCAGAACCTTTTCAATATATCAAGCTGTTTCAAGTTAGATGGTGACCAAGTTCATACCATGATCCTATAAAGTTTTCTATTAAAGTTAAGATCTATGACCCATGTTTTATTTCCCTCTACAATCACTGAATCTGGAGTTGTTTTACAGGATTAGATAGTCCCACACAACTAATAAATGGAATTCCAGTCATAAGCACTTAAAGAGATGTAAAGAATCTTCTCCCAGTAAATTCAGATGTTTCTCACTGGTAATATTAATAGTGGAAGAGAATTACATTAATGCAAAGACATAATGTTTACATGCCACATTAAGCCTCATTTAGCATTACATGCAAAAGCTGCTGTGAAGCCAGAGAAAACTTCAGGCTCCCATCCTTCCCCAACCCCCTTCCTCTGTACAGCAGGGATAAAATAAAACTATAAAACTATGATGCACTTTGATTCATGGCTTGTAGTTACATCAGGACTAAAAATTGTGTTTTAAAATCAACTCTAAACTGTTAAACGAGCCAGAAAAACCCCAGAGTTTAACAATCAATTAAGTTATATGGTTCACATATAAAGACAAGCCAGGAACCAAGGAACTTTAAATGGAATCATAGTTTATTCCACCTCCTTGTCAGAAGCAGGGAGGCTTTGCTGAGGCTTACAGGAGCTCATACAGAAAACACTAAATCCTGGCTTATCACTACATGGTTTAACAATCCCGGCTTAGTATTAGCATTACAAACTCAGCCAGTGACTTGGTTCAAACAAAACCACCAATAGGTTAATATACATGGGTAGACAAAGCAAACTCCCTACCTCCTGTGTGCACATGACTTCTGCTTTTATTCAACATCCCATGACCCCTTAAGTTGTGGAGCATGATGCCCAAACCAAACCAACAGACTGGTAAGTGCTAAACAACCAAATAATCAACCCATGACTTGTGGCCTAAAAAGCAGAGCCAATTATGGGATATTGACTAAATGCAGAAGTAGCTGGTATGCTACAGTTATCATGTCTATGCTCTCCTGCCTGTGGTATGTTTAAAGCCATGGATCATCCTTATATATCAAGTTCCCCAGTAAGTTTCAAGGATGTGTTTTTCATGTATTTTTGGCATAATGGTATTCAGAAAAGGACTAATCAAATATGAATTATCCTGTAAGAAGGCATATTTCCCCAGAGAAAGAGATAAAGAAACTAAGTTTTGCAATGCCAATATCCTTCAAATACTTCCACAAAAGCACACAACAGCACTGTTCAACAGTTCCTAAAAGATTGCTTTATGGATTACACCCAAATTGTTAATTAATTCTACCACAGCATCTTCCTAGCAAATTAAACACACATCAAGCAGCAGACAATACCTTTAGATGTTGATGCATGCAATAACGGCACACTTTGTACTTTATTTCTTGTGAAACATAACTGGAGAAAGGGAGAAATCCACATTTGGGCTGCCAAAATGAATAAAAATGAATTTAAAATATGTGCATACTTCCAATGTGTATTTAAAAACAAAAAGAACACACATGTAATGTGACCTTCAAGGGCTCCTTTTTCCAAATCTGGCATCATTCCACCACCACCATTACCCAAGAACATCAGGACAATTAATGATCTTGTCACTAATACAGCCACTTTGTATGATTTCCAATACACCTCAAAACTTTCTCCTCTAGAATTTCCATAATCTAAATTAAAGTGATGTTTAATACATCCCGCACATAACTAATGATATTTAAAATTCATAGTTTTCAATATATGTAAATGCCCAAGAAGAAACAAAAGGCATCATTTACATAATTAAAGAGGAAAACTTTCTGCTGGGTCATTTTCTGTTGACCTGCCTGCTCCTACCTCCTTTGGATAACAGGAGCCATAATCACTGGCATAATACACCAATAATACAATACAGTTCATATAATTTTAAAGAATTGATAAAAAACCCACAATTTTAGTCACCCCATAGCATCCACTGTTCATGTTCTCTGAACAAGGAGATGTCAGGCTCCCAATTTGGAGGCAATTAAATAGTGAAACTGCAGGGGGAAATAGCTTTATCAGAAAGTGAAACCATGGCTTGTCCCAGCCAAGAATAGCAGTTAAGGTCATACATATGGCAAATGGTGGTTACTAAGCACAGGCAAAAATCTGCATTTAGTTAGAATTCAATAATTTAACTACTGTTGATAAAATGATTGTTAATTATGGGGCTGTATTAATTTTAATGTTTTTGCAGGGTTCTGTATGAAAGTTTTAGCAAGTGCTATATATTTTATTTTAATGTGCATAACACTGTGTTTTAAGGAGGACTCCTATGGCCCTTAGGCAGCACCTGAGGGGCAATAGGTAGGGAAGTGTAAGGAATCTGTTTGGGGGTGGGAATCCACCTGATTCCCTGGGATCAGCTCCCCAGACTCTACTCTGCTTTGCAGCAGTCCTGAGTCCAAGTCATGGCAAGCATCCCCAGCATTCATAAGGTGCTCACCAGGAAGCAAGCGCCACATGCTGCAAAAGCAAGACCCCTCTTCTGTACCATGCATAGCAGCGGTCTGGGCTGCTGCACCTGATGTGGAAGAAAGCTGGTCTTGCAGGGCCCACAAGGAATGGAGCCCCATGTGGCTGCTGTGCAAGAGGGGTGCCTTCTGCGCCACCTGTAGCAGCCTTTGTGCCGTTACACCTGTCCTAGAAGATAGCTGCTGGCTATACCACCTTAGTCTCATGAGCACTCGCAGACTTCCTTGTAGCTTGGCTTGCTCTGGAAGACCAGACCAAGCATGAGAGGAAGTTTGTGAATACTCGAGCGACAGATTCCTCTAGGGTTCATTCCAACCCTTGCCACAAGATTCATCAAATTCCCAGGTCTGAGATCAAGCGACAGCACTCCAGAGCTGGGAATGAGACCTCCCACCATCTCCCTCTCAAAACTTGTAGAAAGAACTACATTGAAAGTCCTCTGAGTGATAAAGTGACTTGAGAGAGGTGGAAAAGGGGCAATTCAGTGGATGGGCAGGCATGAAGACCGGAGGGGCCAAGATGCAAATTATCCAGAAACCACTCAGCCTCCTTCCATCCACCTCCAAAACACTCCAGCCAGAAGGCAAAAGAGTCCATCTGGCAGAAATGGAGAGTGGGAGAATGAGGAAGCAGGTATTAAAACTCCAAACTACAAATAAATAAATTACTTCCAACACTGCTCTGAATGATCACAAGCATCCCGGGTTAGGGGCTAAGGGGAACCAGTAAAGAACTGGACCTTTGGTGTATTTAAATTCTCTTAGAACTTTTTAGAGGTTTTAAAATATTCTAGGCAGCATATTAAAGAAAGCAAGTTATAATTTTATCTCTTTGTTTTTTAATTGGAACTATTCAAATTGGAGGGGTCAAACTCCAGTATCAAACATGCCAGTACAGATGTTCAATATTCATATTTTAAAAATAGTAAAGCTCCTGTAGACTCACCTTAATCTCAATACAAATTATTGGTCGATGTTCAACAAAATGCAGCCTAGTGAGGTTAGGAAGGCACATAGCATAACCACTAAAAGTATCCATGTCTTTATCACAGCGAGACTCTGTGAATAAAAGGAAAAGAATGGTTTGCACTGAACAATATCAGGTCTATATATGGGAGATTCTCTTACTTTTCAAGAACTATGCACACAACTGAGTATGGTCTGAAAGCACATGATGCTGTTCCATTAATAAAGCTAAACATGACTTAGCCTGATCAGTATCTAGATAGTGGGCTGCTTCAGAGTACTGGTGTAAGCTGCTCTAGACTACACAAAGGAATACAATGTAGTTAAGCCAACCAAAATGAAAACTAGACCCAAAAAGTTCCAGCAATAAATATTTGTAAATTCCTCTTTTTGAAACTTAGCTCTTAAGAGGTAAGGGGTTGATTCTGTGCACATAGATTTGCAAAGGAACAATTGGATTAAGGCCTTTTCCCCAACTCAATGTTTATTTTATAACATTTTGGATGTGAAGGAGAGGCATGTGATCTCTGCTTACACAAATTCACAGTTTTGAGAACTGTAAAACCAAGCATCTGGGATAATATCTCCAAGATAGAAAAATCGCCCAATAATCTTACAGAAACATCTGGAAGAGTATGATATTGTGAATGGATTAATGGAATTCATTTACCAAAACATTTAAGCATTGCCTCATGCTGCATAGTTTAAAACTAATCCTTCTCTGATAACCTTTGGACTATAATGTATCTTAAATTTAAACTTTAAAACTATTTTAGATAGATTTTTTTCCTCCAAAAGCATTTCGTTTAAAAAAATCCAATTTAAATCTTTTAAAATCCATTTTTTATAATTGATTTTTATCTGCCCTGGGAGCTGGGAATCCAACCTATCCTAGTCACCAAAAGATTATTCTCTTACTTGACTAGATTTGACTATGTCCATTCACAGGAACAAATGCTTTAACAAACAGAATATTAGTTTAAGATTGAATAACAAGTTAGACAGGTACCAATGGAAAAGTCAAGATAGGCAATACTTCCAAAGCCTTGTAATTTAAAGAGAGGTACTAAACACTTAGCTTGAAATTCTTCTATAGGCAGAGGAACCTGAAGACAGGGTCTACAGTTATTAATGCATTTATGTAAGCATAACCACAGGCAAAATGTAGTAATTAATGTTAGGAACAAACTGTTTTTCAGAACATGTAATTACACTCTTTGAAAATCTTTGAGCCCGGAAGACAAAGTCTGAATCAGATGGACAGAACCCACCTGAAACTCTTGTATACAGACATAGTGAATGCATATAAGGAATGTTCAAATGCAAGCCCAGTACACAGAAATTCACCAAACGTAACTGCAGAGCAATCTGTCCATCTAGGGACTCTCCCTGTTTAAAATGGAACCTTGTTTAAAACCGTTCTACTTTGAAGACGGCACATAGCACTTTGCTTCTCCTTCTAGGAAGGAGACAAGGCACCAACACTGCAGTCTTGACAATATAGGAGCATTCTCAAAGCAACACACAAAAATTTCTCTCACCATAAATGGTTCTGAGAGGGAGGGGGGAGAAACAATCCCTCCAAAATAATATGTGCACGTCAATGAGGAAAGTAAAAGTCCTCTCATAGAGGCTCTAGACCACACACAGGGTTATCTTGCCTGCTCACTTGGATGCAGTTCTCACTTCTTCTAGAAACCATACAATGGATAATATTTAGATCAGTGAGGGGTATTGATTAATTCACCTAAGGTACAACAACCCTGTTGCCTCTAATACAAAGAAAGAGGCATGGACTCACTAGGGTTGTCACCCAAGAGAAAAGGGGACATCAGCCCCTCAAAACTTGGAGACCATTGATTTAGATGGATGTGACACAACCCTTTTTAAAAAGTTTTTGGAAAGTACCTTCCAGTGTTTTATCCAAGCAGTTACTTTATTATTTTAATATCTTACCTGGCCTCTCTGACTGGATCTTTAAACAAAGCTGTTTTACAAAGTCCAAAGGTAGCTGTACAACTTCCTAAAAAATGAAAAAAAAATTTTAACACAAGAAATTGCTACATACAACAGCTGCCTTGGATTTCCTGCAAGAGGAAGAAAGGTGATATATAAATGCATAATCATCATCATCATCGATGGATCGATGATGATGATGATGATAATATACAGACACAGAAAGACTGCACCGCTTTCAAAGAGGCCTAGAATTAGCAGGAGGATACTTTGGGTGGAAAAGAAGATATAAATATAAAATTAAATAAAAAATAAAATTGACATATTGAAGTATAGTGAAAAAGAATAGTTTTGCATGGCAAGCTTGCCTGATTTTCCTTATAAAATAGGATTGATTAAAAAAATGACTATATGGGAGGTTTGGCAATTGGACAGCATTGAATTTATTTAATAGTAAAATTAAAAGTTATAATTGAAACGGGATGTCTTTTTAAATCAGTAAAATACTGAATTTCATTTTAAAATGTCTTAGTTTCCATTCCGTTTCATTACAAACATGTGAAACATAAATGTTCAGTCTCTAACAATGAACTGATGTAAACTGCCTAAAGAGACCTACAGGAGTATTAACGCAGTATACAAGCTTAATAATAAATAAGCAAGCTGACGACTCCATCACACTCACATGCAGTGAGTTACCTGCAATTCAAACATGGGCATTCAGCTATTTCTCTCATAAAATTTCTTCCATTCAGTCCAATTATTAGCTTTAGCTTTTTGAACATTCTAGGTTTCATCATAGCTTAGCAGTGGAGGCAGAGCCCAGGACTACCTAACCACTCACAATCAAACAATTTTAAGAAGTTACTTTTCGAGTAGGTGCAATTTAAATCAAACGGACACTGACTGAGGCTGGTAATGGAGCCACAGGAGCAATGTAAGGTCTGTCCTGTGCCCTCATCCACCATTCCCTTCTGCTTGACAAAAAGCAGCACCTGATTGGTTCAGATTGCTTCCACTCAAGTGTAAGTTTAAAATATTTGACAATTGCCAAGTTTCGCTACAGTGCTCCTTTTGCCGGCAAGGCCAGATAGAAAAGTGAAGAAGAAGACTGAAGCAGTTATGACAGGCTCAGGGGTCCATTCCGAGCCTCTGGGAACTTGGCAACTGCCCACCCAGGCTGAGCCCTAATGCTGGATCAGGGTAGAGGACCTACTTTTTGTATAGAATGACCCAGGTTCAATCCCCAGGATCTCAAGCTAAGACTAGGAAAGAATCCTGCCAGAAACTTTGAACTGCCAATGCCAGTCAGTCTCAACAATACTGGCCTAAATGGACAGGGCTCTGGATTCAGTGTAAGTTATAACTTCCTGTTTCTATGTTTTGGCAACTAAAGACACATATGCAAAGAACAGGGTCTGTTCACACAATACCACTTGGCTCACCATTACTTATGTAAACCATGATGAGTTGCTGCCTGTATCAGGCACATACGGCTGCATTAACAGCCATATGTGTTAATGCAAACACATATTTGCATGTGTTTGTATTAACATGCAAACTGCACTGATGTGTCACCTGGCTACAGTAGGTTATTTGAGGGTTAAACTCCCTAACATCACCCTAATCTAAACAGAAAATTATGCAAGTGCCATTTTTTCATGCATAATCCACAATAACTGGATTTGGACAAGACAATGCAACCCCTTGACAGTTACACATTCATAATGGCAGCTGCATACACCCAGCATGCATTACAGCCCACTGGGAGTTAAACTATCCACCATGAGCCTGTCACATCATGCAAACCAGCTCACAGGCTGGACAGGATTATTTTTCAGTGCTTATATGATGATGGAGTTGGGCCAAGCATGGCAGGTGGGAGCAGAGAGATAATACAGCAAAAATGGCTGAAGACAAAGTGGACAGGAACAGTAGAATACACTGAGGGGTGGCTGGATGGAAAATAGCACAGTAAAGTATAGACACAGCTTCAACTTCATATATTATTCCATACTTTTACCACAGAAAGACAGCGTAAGTGGGAATCTACCCTCCTTGTTGATCCAATGTTGCACGGGATTTTAAATTAATATGTTTTAGTGAACGGGTATGCACCATTGTTTAACAAATATGTGCAGAATGGTCAGTACAAAACCTGATTTAACTCATCATTTAAATTTATACAGGATGCAGTGATTTAAGTTATTGATTTAAACTATTTTAAATCATTTATATGTCAGCAGTTTCAAACCATGCCACTAAAAATGCTTTCCTCATTTAAGTTTATCCATCAAGAGTAAGCAGAACAAAAGTAACAAATTATTACAATTCAACTATTCAAATGAATAGCGGCCATGGGGCTGTCTCAACATGTCACTAGCCCAACCTACGAACGTGGACACACTCTGGACCTGGTTTTCTCGACGGGGCAGGAAGAGGGTGATCTGAGGGTGAGGAATTTAAGCTTGACACCCTTGTCATGGTCAGATCACTTCCTCATAGGGTTTGAGCTCAAGAGCGGCCTTTCCCTCTGCAAGGGTGCGGACCCGATTGTATTGGTCCACCCCCGGAGCCAGATGGAACCTGATGGATTCCTGGAAGCTCTGGAGGATTTTCCAGTTGACAAGGCTGGTGATCCTGTCGATGCCCTGGTTGAACTGTGGAATGAGGAGATGACCAGGGCTATTGACACGATCACTCCCAAGCGTCCTCTCCCACCTGGCAGAGCCCGTTCATCTCCTTGGTATACACCTGAATTATGGGCAATGAAGCAGGTTGGGAGACATCTAGAGCGTAGGTGGAGAAGATCCCAGGGTGATTCTGACCAAACACACTTAAGAGCCCATTATCGGGCCTATGCTGTGGCGGTGAGGTTGGCGAAGAAGAAATTCTTCTCCGTTTCCACTGCCTCCTCACAATGCCGTCCAGTGGAGCTTTTTCGGGTGGTGCAGGGGCTGATACATCCGGGCCCAAAGAAAGATCTTGCGCCACCCTCGAAGGCCCGCTGTGACGACTTTGCCAAGCATTTCAGGGAGAAAATCGCTCAGATTCACCACGAGCTTGACTCTGCTATTGAATCAGATTCTACTGGGGAGACGCCATCAAGTCCACAATTAATGGATGAATTTCAGTTGTTGCGGCCTGATGATGTGGACAAGGTGCTTGGACAAGTACATCCTACCACTTGC